AGTCCATACAAAGTTAAGAGGAAATGGGGCTAATGCTGTGGCATAACAAGTAAAGCCTCTGCCTTGCAATGCACACAGGCATAGGTTCGAGTCCCAGCTGATTCACTGCCAATCCAGTTCTCTGCTAATGCACCTGGGAAAGCAGTGGAGGATGGCCCAAGTCCTTGGACCCCTGTACCCACATGGGAGACCCAGAAGAAGCTCCTGGCTCCTGGCTTCAGACTGGCCAAGCTCTATGTGTTGCAGCCATTTGGGGAGTGAACCAGCAGGTGAAAGACCTTTCTTTCTCTCTTTCTAGCTCTACCTTTCAAATAAATAATTTTTTTTTTTAATTTTTTTTTTGACAGGCAGAGTGGACAGGAAGAGAGAGAGACAGAGAGAAAGGTCTTCCTTTGCCCTTGGTTCACCCTCCAATGGCCGCCGCGGCCAGCGCGCTGCAGCCGGCGAACCGCGCTGATCCGATGGCAGGAGCCAGGTACTTCTCCTGGTCTCCCATGGGGTGCAGGGCCCAAGCACTTGGGCCATCCTCCACTGCACTCCCGGGCCACAGCAGAGAGCTGGCCTGGAAGAGAGGCAACCGGGACAGAATCCGGCGCCCCGACCAGGACTAGAACCCGGTGTGCCAGCGCCGCAAGGCGGAGGATTAGCCTAGTGAGCCGCGGTGCCGGCCCAAATAATTAAATCTTTAAGAAACAAAAAAGTCCAGAGGGAACATCGCTGTGCTGTTGTCTAGCACCCTGAATGAGGCAATTCCAGGCCTCATTTTCATTTGCTATTCACAGAGGGTGAATGGATGAGGAGGACCTGAGACAAGGAGGCTGGTTAATCCACTAAGAGATAAGACCGTAGTCAAAGCCGGAGTAGTGCAATTTGGGGCTCAAATTCAGATCTTCCCATCCAAGGCAGAGCTCCTTCTGCCTCACCATATACTGCACAGTCCTACTGCATTTCTGCATTGTACTTGTTCCTTTGACTGCATACTCTGGTTTTTGTCAGAATGCTGGGGGAGCTTCCCCTCAGGTTTGGAAATCGGGTTATAAGAAGGCACCTGTCAGCCATTCATGTCACCAGTCTTCCCACCTTTCCATCAAACCAGCATTATCTGGACAGACCACCACCATAAAAGCACGAGGTGTCATTTAGCTTGATGAGAATGAAGAATGAGTGGTGACCAGGAAACCTACCTGTCTACACTCTATGCAGGGCAAGTCCTCCCAGTCAAGAGCACACAGGGCATCTCATCTCACATGGAGGAACAGCTGGCCCCTTCCCCACAACACAGGCTTGGAGGCCCCCCAGTGGGGAGCTGCTCTCCCACCCTCAGTCTCCGGTGGGCTCCCTGAACCCCAGGAGGGGAGCAAGTACCTGTCATCGTAGGAGGAGATCCTCTTGCCATCCATGACTCGCGAAGGGGTGAGCGAGAGCAGGCTGAGGGAGTACAACTTTTGCAGGAAGTGACTCTCTACAGAAAGAGAGGAATACACAGGCAGCTCAAGGCGCGGACAGAGCCCACGCCAGGACGCGGGTGGCCGGGGCCGCACTCACCTCTGACCTTGGAATCCCTACTGAAGCGCCACTGAGGCACAAAGACGGTTATGTCCCGGTGACCACGGTCCCAGAAGTACTGCACGGCAATGGCAATGCCCCGGCTGGAGAAGTGGTGCTGGAGCCCATGCCTGCAGCGGGAAGGGTCAGTGCTCTGGACACCCTCAGCCTGTGTCCCCAAGGCGGGCAGAGAGGCCTGCCTCAATCCCCTCCCCAGGACCCTCGCCCTTCCCCCCATACTCACACCATGGCCACGTTGCTGCCATCGATGACAATGTGGCGGAGGCCTGGCTGGCCAGGCACGTTGGCCAGGCACAGGTTGAAGGGATCCTGCAAGGCCTCCTGGAAACGCTGCGTGCCGGTCACCAAGTTGCCACCTCGGGCACCTCGCTTCCACGGGGAGCCCCGGCCCCGAGCCCCAGCCTGCGGCTTGTCTGCCCGGTCGCCCCGGTCGCCGCGGTCGCCCCGGTCCCCACAGTGCCAGCGGGGCTCAGGGGCGGGTGGAGGGCTAGGCACTCTTGGAGGCGAGGCGCTCCCGTTGTGGAGCCGCTGGAGGAGGGAGGCTCCCCGTTGCGCCGCCCGTTGACAGGGGCCGTGGGCACCAGGAGGCTCACCTTGGACGCTGAGCCCTCCTCTCTCCTGGGGCACTCCCTCCTTCCCCGGGGCCTTGCCTTTCAGGGGTCCCTCCTCCCCGGTCCTTCCACCTGCTGTCTGTGTCCTGAAAGCTACTTCTCTCTCCCAGGCCTCTCCCCCAGGCAGCTCCTTCCACCTCAACTCCATCTCCCTGGGACCACCCAGTCTGCCCACCTCCTTCAGCATAGCATGACCCTCTTCCCTTGCCATCCTGCAATCTCCTTGCCCCATAGACCCCATGTCTAGGGAGCCTCTGGCTTCCCCTGGGGGAGCTCTGAGCTCCCTGGGGTTCCCCTCCCAGGACGGGGGCACCTGCAGCCCACGCCCCCTGGACACCTCCTGCACCAGACTCAACAGCTCCTCCTGGACAGCCAGGGGCAGCTGCAGCAGGGCGGCCCTGTGGTCATCCGGCCAGGACTGCAGCAGGGCGGAGAAGTTGCTTGTCACTCCAGCTCCGGGCGAAAGCCCGGGCCGGAAGTCGCAGCTCAGCCTCTCCACTAGCTCCTCCACCCGGCTCTGAGCCATGACAAAGGCTTCAGTCAGGCCACCGACCACCAGCAAGCCAGGCGCCCGAGGCACTAGGTGGGCACAGGTGCTCCAGGCCAGGCAGTCCAGGAAGAGGCCCCGGGCTCCCAGGAAGATGCAGTGCAGTTGAGGTGGGTAGTGGATTTCCTCCTGCAACTCCGGGCTACACAGCCCCTTCAGGTACTCCTGTGGGAAAGGCCAGACAGAAGAGGCTGCTAGAATCCTCAATGACTTCAGGCCAAGACTCTCCCCTGAGCTCCTGGTGTGAAGCCTGGAGTTATCCAGAGGGACACTGCTATTATCCCCATCTTACAGATCAAGAAACTGAGGCTAAAACTCCAGCCTGACTCCAGAGGAAGCCATGAGGCCACACCTCCACCCCGCAGTGAATTCCCTGGTGGGGGCCCCACTAGGTCAGCTGCGTTCTCTCTACCATCCCAGAGGGCACACAGTGACTCATTCCCAAGTCATGACAGAACCTGGACTGCCCCCGGCAGAAACGAAACCAAAACTACAAACAGAGGCGGGGAGTCCTGCAAAGCCCAGGTGCACCGAGGCTGTAGGCACCTCCCCAGGCCCCTCCTCCACCGGGGAAGGAGCCCGGGGCCCTGGAGCGACCCGCGGAGAGGAGGCGTCACCTTGGCTCGGCTCACGTTCTCCTTGGGGCCCTCAAGCTGCAGCCAGATGTGAGGGTTCTCGGGACAGTCCTTAGGGAGGACGCTCATCCCCACGCCGAAGATGCGTTCCACGCAGAGCTGCTGCTCCCGCACCCGGTCCTCTGCCGCCGCAGACACCGCAAAGCGGTCAGGGGACTGGGCACCAGCCCCCCAGGTGGGCATGGCTGCTGCGCCCGGCCCTGGAAGGGGAGAAGGCGGCTCAGAGTCTCACCGTCCCCTCGCCCGCACCAACCATCAACAGGTCGCGCATTAGTCACGACTTCGGTAAACAGCCCCAGGAGGTAGCAGGAGTCCATCTCCCGGACAGGGAGGCAACGGCAGCGTCCTCTCCTAGGGGACGTCACCCGGACCCAGCTGCCTAAGCGACCCCGAGCAGGGAGGGAGGCGCTCCGGCGGGCCGGGGGCTGGTTCTCCTCCGGGGCCCAAGTGGCTTCTTAAAAATGAAGCCCGCTGCCCTCCGGGCCCCGGGCTGGCCACTTCCAAGGCTTCGGCCACGCCCCCCGCGCCCCGCCACCGCCCCTCCCTCTCCAAGCCTCCCGCGGCTCCCCTCCGTTCGCGTCCACGGCCCCCGCGGGCCCCCAAGGGCTTGGGCCGCAACCCCGTCCAATAGCCTCTGCAGCTCCCTCCTCGACCCGGGCCCCCGGTATCGGGGTTTCAGGGGAACTCACCTGCGGATACGGGAGATTGGCAATAGGGGCCCTCTGGGGCCTCTCGGTGCCCTCCGGGCCCCCGGCTGCGCCCGCGCCCCCAGCCCAGGGGACAAGGGCAGGGGGCCGGAATCTGGGCGGGCCTTCCCGGGCTGCTCACCCAACGGGGACCTCTCTCCGCCACATCTCAAAATTGTTTTTTTCAGTCACTTCCTGGCCTGGGGCGGAGTCAGCGCGGCTCCTCCCGGGGCTGGGCCTGCAGCGGGCCTGGCCCGCGGCCGGACTGAGCGCTCCCGCCCCCCGCCCCACCCCCCACGCCCTCGGGGATCCGCCCGCGCCCGCCGACCGGTTCGCTCCCCGGCCTATCGGGGTTCCTGGGGTTCCCGCCACGCTCTGCGCAGTTGTTTCTCGGGAAGAAGGAACCCCTGGTGGAAAGCTGGTCCTTGAGGCTGTGTTAAACCAGAGAGGGAAAGTGACTGATCCAAGGTCACCAGATAGTGACGCTCTTGGCCCAAGTGCTTTGCCACCAAAAACAGCCGTGGTTTTGGAAAAGATAAATGGAAAGATGCCGCCGTGGGGGATGTTGAAGAGAGGAGGGGTTAGGAGGAGTGGGGGTGGGGGCTGGAGGAGCTTCCACCCTGCTCTCCACCGCCCGGGTCCAGCCTCCTGCTGACCTCTCCAGAGGGGCTGCCTTGGAGCTCCGGGTTGGCTGCAGGCCTCCCGCCCTGGCATCGTCCCTCCTCTCCCTCCCAGGGCCCAACTGCTGTCACTTTATGCTTTGCCAAGGAGGAGGGGACTGCAGTGACAGCAGGAGTAGCAGAGTGGGAGGCAGGACAGCGCGTGGGACATAGAGCAGTATGGGAGGGAGGTACCAAGGCCAGGTGGTGGTGAGACCTGGAGAGAGGGCAGAGTGGGAGCAGAAAGGAGCAGGAAGGGGTAGGAGACAGGGGGCTTAGGGGTGGCAGAACCACTCAGCTATGTCAAGAGGAAAGCGACACCAGCTCCCAGGTGCCCTGCACAGATCCAGGCTGTGCTTGGCCCTAGTGCTTCTGGTCCTGGGGGCCGTGTGGGCCCAGGAGGGTTCTGAGCCTGTTCTGCTGGAGGGGGAATGCCTGGTGGTCTGTGAGCCTGGCCGAGCTGCAGCAGGGGGGCCTGGAGGTGCAGCCCTGGGAGAGGCACCCCCTGGACGAGTGGCATTCGCTGCGGTCCGGAGCCACCACCACGAGCCAGCTGGGGAGACTGGAAATGGCACCACTGGGGCCATCTACTTTGACCAGGTAATCCCCTAACCCTGTCCTGAGGATCTGGAAAGACCCAGCAAAGACCTGGAATCAACTGGCCAAGCCCGCTTTGCTGTGCCTTGAATGCTAACAGCCCCTAGTTCCTCCCTTCCCTGCCTTACACACCCCCTCCTCGCCCCTCGACACTGTTGCTTTGGAATCTGTACCTTCCTCTCACTCCTACTTGTTACCCCTCCTTTGCCTCCCTCACTGTCCCAGAGCCCCACTCAGCAGGGTCTGCTTCCCCCAGGTCCTGGTAAATGAGGGCGGTGGCTTTGACCGGGCCTCGGGCTCCTTTGTGGCCCCTGTCCGAGGAGTCTACAGCTTCCGGTTCCATGTGGTGAAGGTGTACAACCGCCAGACTGTGCAGGTGATCTGAATGCTGGGCCCCACCCCTAGCTCTGGAGGGGAGGGAGAGGGCATCGGTGGTACCCAAGACCTCTGGGCAGACCCCTCCCCTGCCCCCATTGACTCTGGCCTGAAGCCAGGAGCAAAGGGAGAAAGGGCCCGCCTAGAAGAGAGTAGAGGTTGCCTGGTGTCCAGCACTGGCCATCTCTCAGCCCTCCCAGGAGAATCCATCAAGCCCCAACTTCCCGAGAGGAAGCCCTTGGGAGAGTGGGCTTCTGAGCTAAGGCTGGAGTATGGGTGCTAACGGAGCTCCCCTCCCCAGGTGAGCCTGATGCTGAACACATGGCCTGTCATCTCAGCCTTTGCCAACGACCCTGATGTGACCCGGGAGGCAGCTACCAGCTCTGTGCTGCTGCCCCTGGACCCTGGGGACCGGGTGTCCCTGCGCCTGCGTCGGGGGAACCTGCTGGGTGGCTGGAAATACTCAAGCTTCTCTGGCTTCCTCATCTTCCCACTCTGAAAGCCCACTCTTCCAACCCCTGGCCCACTGCCTTCTGCCCTCCCCTGCCCCAGAAACAGCATCTTTGGGGCAGGAGCCTCCCTCAGGCTGCTCCGTATTCCACCTCCCTGCATGGGACTGTGTGCCAAACACCCAAGGTTAAGATGGTGCTGGGGCATCTCCAGACCTGGCACTTGTCACGCACCCACCCAGCCCCCAGTGGCTCTCCCCACCTCCCTCTGCAGCCCTTCCTGCCTGCAGCCCCAGGAGCTGGGCCGTGTTTGGCAAAAAGGGAGACCTGCACTGCTTTGCAGTCTCTGTTCCTCCTGTTCCCGCACCCCAACTTCCTGCTGAGTGCTATTCAGAGACAGGTGGTACAGGTGAGCCTGACAGGCCCCCACAGGGGCCCAGATGGAGCAGCCCTGACTCCTTCCTGTGAGGAGTGCCAGCACTGCGATCTCGGCCAGCACCATCAGAAGCTGAGCCAGAGTATGCGCTAGGGCGGGAGACTCAGAGGCAAGCAGAAGTGGGGGAGACCCACAAAGCAGCCGGAGCCTGTGACTGGTGAGGCACGAAGGGGGCATACATGTAGCATGAACATGGCACACGTTCTGCATGTCTGTTGGGGCAGCCAGTGGGCAGAGATCCCGGCCATCCATCTGTACTAATTCCCAGATGGACTGTCCCTCATCTCTTTGCCTGAGACTTGGGTGTGTGTGTTTGCTCTGGCCAACAGCAGGTGTATGGAGTTAAAGGTGGGGGTAGCAGGTCATCTGTGTGCCATGGAACTTATCAGTGACCCTGCATCCCCTTGCTGGGCCACCTCCTAGAATGTCTCCATCTTTGAAGCCTGAACTTCAGTCACTCCAACTCTGAGTGCCACCTCTTTCCTGCCAGCTCTCTCTCGCCCACCTTCACTGGACCTGTTTCAATCTTTCTCCACGTCTCTTTTCTTTCTCCTCATCCATGCTTATCCTCCCTATAAGCTTCCTGGGATCTCGTGATTCATGAGATCAACCACTTTGCTACCAGCATCAAAATCAATCTCTCTCTCTCCTCTCTCTCTTTATCTCTGTCTCTCTCTCCCACACCCTCTCTTTCTTATCCCACTGGTCCATCATAGATGAATCTATCTCTAAAGTAACAGAGTGGCAGTCAATGAGACAGTATAAGATCACTGGAGAGAGAAGGTGTGATTACAGTTTGAATCAAGGGTTATGGGATACAAGCAGGTATGCTGTGTGGAAAACAAAGGTGAAACTGTATTATAGCCAAATCAAAAAGGTATTTAGTAATATATGAGTTAAATGGGAAACACTAATGTGAATTTGTGATGTTAAAAAGAAATAACTTTTTCTTTCACCATTGGGCCATAGTTTGTGACTAGGAAGAATAGTTTAAGCAAGAGAGGAGGTTATTTCTGTCTCACATACAAGAGTCTGCAGAGAGTCCAGGAATAGATGGCAGTTTTATGATCAACAAAGCCCAGTCTCCCCCTTTGCTGTTCTACCAGCTTTCACATGCCAACTCGTGACCCAAGATGGCTCCTTCAGCTCCAGCTATTACATCAGCCCAACAGGCAACAGAAAGGAGGAAAGAAGAAAGAGCACACCTCTTTCCTTTAAAGCTTTCTCAAAGTTGGACCCAGCATTTCTGATGGCATGATATTGGCTACACTTTAATCACATCTGGCCATACCAATTCAGGAAAAGGCTAGGAAACACCGTCTTTTATGCAGGCAGCCATTGTCTATGCAGCTAAGATGCAAGAGTCTTATAAGGAAGAAAGGGAGATTAGATGTTGGGAATGACAGCTACACATTTTTCAAAATGCAAACAGGACAGATCAGTTTGTAAATAATGATAGGCAAGTTACTCTATTACGTTTCATTTGCTGTGTAGCAAATTCCCACAAATTTGGTGACTTAAAACAACACCTAATTATTATCTCACAGCTTCTAAAGATCAAAAGTCCAGCAGAGCACGACTGGGTTCCCTGTTCAGGGTGTCACAAGGTCAAAAGCAAGGTGTAGGCAGAGTTGGAGGCTAAGAATCCACTTCCAAACTCGTTTAAGTTTAGTTCCTTATGGTTGTAGCACTGAGGTCTCTAGCTCACTCCATCCTGCAGCTGACACCAGTGGGCCAAGTCACTCCAAAGCTACCAGTCTCTCAGGCCTTCCCTCCTGCCCTCTGAAGTCACATTTCTCTGACTTTGGTGAGACATTCTCTGAGTTAAGAATTCATGTGGTTAGATGGGGCCCACCAAGTTAATCCAAGATAATCTCCCCGTTACCTGGATTATGTATAGTTCCTTTGGACATACTAACACTCTCACAAGTTCTAGGAATTAGGACATGTATATGTCTGAGACCTTTGCATATCATAGTCATCAGACTTAGAGATGACATCACATAAAGAAGCACCAGTACAATACACTAAATGCATGGAAAATGTGCAGACTTGAAAAATCCCTATGATACAGAGGATAAATACCAGCTTGGGTTTTCATCACTCTAGAAACGGAACTAATTCCCAGATTCCCAGCCAGGAATTCACTGATTAATAATCCAAAGCTTTATGTGCCCTGAAGTAGTGTTTTCCTTTTGGATATACCAATTCAAAAATTGATCTGCACCGAGATGTGTTCATCTCTTGGGTCTACAAATCCATGTTTATAATGGCCTTAGGTATAGGTGTCATACATTCTATAGTCCTTGCATTAATGCGTGCATTTTACCAAAATGCTTGAAGCTTTTAGAGAAGCTGACATGGGACAGACGATTCTACTGAAGTATTTCGGAAGATTTGATTAAGTTTGCAATCAGTGTTTGCCTTGTAAAATATATAGGTCTTGATTGATTGGTTATATAAATAGTGACTAAATATTTAGACAGTTTTTGCCTAAGTAGGCTTGTAAAGTTGATTAAACAATAAGTAAAACACAGGTGTTAGTGTGTGTTCCTCTGCAGCTACCATAGATCCTCAGACATTAAAGACCTTAAGAATCGAACCCAACTGTGCACCTTCCCTGTGCCCACACCCTGGCAGAGAAAAGTCCTCGGGATGAAGGACCCACTATGGACCTGAAACCAGCCACGCCTGATCCCCAATACTCCAATTCTCCTCTGGTTTCCTTTGCCAGTTTCTTTCCTCATTCACCCCAGGATCCAGCTGCAGTTCTGTTCTGTCCTTCATGAACCCTGGCCCCACCAACTCGGCCCCCCTGAGCCCCCAGCCAACTCCCACCTGCCCTCATCCCCCACCCCTCCATGAGCAGCACAGAACCTCTCCTACTTCTCTGAAAAACAGAAAAGCCAGGCAGGAACCATTGCCCCATGAACTCACCTTGCCCCCCATGCCTGCTCCTCATCTGGCTTAGCAGAGGGCGAATTCCTTCTTCTATCAGGGTGACTATCTCCAGCAGCTGGCCACGGATCTCCTTCGCTGCGGACATCCTCTCGTCTTTTATTCTCCTTGCCACTCACTCCTTCCCTTCAGAAGTTGGAGTTGAAGAGCCCAAGACTCCCCACTCTGAAAGGGAAAAGGGTGTGGAGGTAGCTACAGATGTAGTTAACTCCATCTGCCTGCATAGCTCCTAAGTGTCCTCTTGCCTCCTTTGTAGAGCCACGTATCTTAATACAAATGGGTTGTGCTCACCAGTTGCTCACACCTGTGAATCACGGGTGAACTCTGGCCTCCACTGCTCCACCTAAGCTGCCCTCAGCTGATCACCTGTGGTGTCACTAGCGTCAACTGCCCTGCCTAGTCTTCCTGCCACCTCAGGGCTCCCTGCCATTTGACCCTGTTCCCCACACCCTCCTAGAAGCATTCTCTGCCCCGACTTCCCACAGTGTGCCTCTTGGGCTTTGCTTCCCACTCTCTGCCCGTGTACCCTTTGTAGGACCCCCTTCCTCTGCCCATTTGTAAATGTTGGTTTTCCTCACAGTTCCACCCTGGAATTTCTTCTGTCCCAACACACCTGCAGGAGCACAAATGGCCATCTGTGTGTTGACAGCTTCTACATTTGTATCTATCCAGGGTCTCCCTCCCTAACCTCAAACTCACACGTTGGCTATTGGCCCTCAAGTCAACAAGCTGAAATCTGAAATGATAGTCCCTCCTCATTCAATCTGTTCTCCCCACTCCTTGTTCTCTATGTCTGTGAGTAGAACTTCCTTGTTACCTAGGCTAAAAACTAAAAACCAGCTGTTATCATCAATTTCTTCTTCTCCCATGACCCCACAGCACAGCAATCGGTTCCATGCCTTGCTCTCTATTCACCCTGGCTCAGACCAGCACTCTCTCAGCCACAGAGCTGTATCAGCATCCTGTCACCCTGGCCTTCAGTTTTCCTCCCCCGTCAAGCCACTGTCCACGTGGCAGTTAACTGAGTGCCACCCTGCACGGGCTCCCCATGGGCTCAGGGTGGAATCCGTATTGTCCTAACATGATGTGTGAGGTCCTTCACACTCTGGCTGCTGCAGTCGTCACTGCTCCATTTTCCACCATCGTCTAGAGTGTGGCGACCTAAGCAGCAGCACACGTGTTAGCCGTGGGGAAAATGGCACTGCTTGGAAAAAAACAGTGTGGCGTTGGAGTCAAACTTAAGAGGACCAAGAGAATTGGGCTTTGGACCAAGGCAGGTGAATCAGGTCTTGTTTTAGTTTGTGAGACCTAACTGAAATAGAGGAATCTTACCTGATACTATGTAATGCATTAATAAAGATGCAGGTGCTGTAGACTGAGGGTGGAGTGAATATATTGCATGAGAGGCAGCAAGCCAGTGACTTTATGCTATGCACAGGAATCAGCATTCAACTCCAGTCTCTCAGTAGCTGCACAAGACAGTCTGAGTTATTTCCTCTCTGTGCCTCGTCTCCTTCATCTATAACATGCAGATACTAATTGTGTCTGTCCTCAGAGAGTTGGGAAGTACTTAGTACCATGAGCACAGAGTGTTCAAGTTAACTGTTACCATGTGAATTAGTAAGTAAATTAAAATCTGTGCAAGTCCCAGGGATTCTTGGACAACCTTTAAAAAGCAAGTAGCATGTTTGTTTTGTGTTATGGTAACCGTTTACCTGTAAGCCTTCTGATTTCCAAGTGCATTCGCTTTTATTGACGAACACGAGAGCTTAGTAAATGGTTGCTAGGAAAGTATGGCATGGCAAGCCATGGCTGGACCCAATGTAAACTCGACATGAAGACAGGAGTACACAGCACGCTCTTCATCCTCACAGTTCGTGTTAGGTCCTGGAACCATGTGCAGGCTGTCTACCTTGTCATTTCTTTGCTAGAAACTGGAGGAAGCCCCTCTGCCAGTGCCAGAGAAGGAAAATCAGCGATGAATGTCAAGGAGAGAAGCAATGTCGAGTAGCCAGCCCACCGTGTCCACAGTATTCACCCCTCCAAAAATAGGAGCATTCCACATCTCTGCTCAAACCTTATAAATCGTTCAGTGGTGAAGAAAAGAATCTCTGCATTGGAGGGGTCAGAAAACAGTGGAGAGGGCAGATGTCTGGCACAGCAGTTAAGCCACCCTCCTTAGGGTGGTCACATCATATATCTGAGTGCCTGGTTTGAGTCCTGGCTCTGCTTCCAAATCCAGCTTTGTGCTAATGCACACCCTGGAAGGCAACAGGTGATGGCTCAAGTACTCGGGGCTCTGCCACTCGCATGGGAGACTGGGACTGAGTTCCAGTGCTTTGGCTTCAGCTTGGTCCAATCCCAGCTGTTGAGGGAATCTGGGAAGTGAACCAATGGATCTCTGTGTGAGTGTGTGTGTCTCTCTCTACCTTTCAAATAAAACAAAATAAAAATTCAAAAATGTTAAGCAACAGTGGGGAAAATCTGACTATTGCTTATATTTATTTAGAGTAGACAATAAAGGGATTTTGCCACGCCACTTTGCTAATAGTGTTCCACTTCTGCTCGCAGGCCTGTACTGAGTGTGTGTGTGTTGCTTTTGGTGAAGGGGCTTGGAGAAGACCTCTCTGAATGGCATGTGCACCAGGACCCCAGGCCCCTGCATCACGGGCTCCTGTGCCATGCTGCTCCCCTCATCTCCCGTCCTGTATTTGTTCAACTGTCTTCCTTTCTCGCCTGACCGAGGGCGCCAGGGCAGCAGCAGTGATGTCACGTGTGGGACCTGTTACCTGCCCACGCCTTGACAGAGCCTGGCATAGTGTGGGGAGCAACTCGGACTAGACTAAGTTACTGGAATTAAGACTTATTCTATGCCTCTGCTCTCCCACAATATGGTGCTGGGAGAGGAGAAAACAGCTTCTACGCAGCTGCCTCTTGCCAACTTGAGTGATGACCTCCAGGAGCTGATCCTGCTCCTGATTGGAGGAGAGCAGCATACTCGGCGTGTGGGTAGCAGAGTTGGGATTGGTGGAAGAGGACTATAAAGGAGGAGAGAGACAACATGCACCAGGAACATCTAAGGGGAACATCTATCTGAGGAAACACCTGGGCAGCCCCCGAGAGAGCCGGCCGGCAGTGTGCCGCTCCCCTGCGGAAGTGGGGAAAGTGGCCAGGGGGAACTGCCCTTCCACGGAGGTGGAAGGGACGGCAGCCAACCCGGGAAGAACCAGCAGCAAACCCGGGGAGGGCCGAGCAGATGAAAGAACAGCGCAGGGTCCTGTGTCGTTCCTCCACGAAGACGGGGAGCAACATAATGGTGCCGTGACTCGGATATGAAGCCTAGGCAGGGTTTAGTGTCATTCCTCCATGAAGAGGGGGAGCGACATAATGGTGCCGTGACTCGGATAGGAAGCCTAGGAGGGAAGAAACGGGAAGAAGTGGGAAAATACCGGAGAGAGAGACTAGCAAACAGCCTAGGGAAAAGCCAGACAAAAAAGGTGCCTGAAGAAGCTATTGAAAGCCTAGGCATAGACTCAGATACGGACTATGGCGGGGAAGCTAGGAGATTGAAAGCGAAAGTGAAACCTGGAGGAGGCTTGGACTCGGATGCGGACTGTGGGGAGAAGCCAGGAGAAATGAGGGAGGAATATTGTTGGAAGAAAACTTAGGGAAACATACCGGGTAGAGAAAAATGTTAGGGAAATTGAAGCTGCGGGGGCAGGCCGAGGCAGAAACGTAAGCCAGCTTGGAATTCTTTAAGTCAGCCCAGGGAGCAAAAGACGGGAAGCCAAACCATAAGGCGGAGACGCGTAAGCTAGGCTGAATTCGCCAGGTTAGCCCAGGGAACTTAGATTGAATACCGGTGGCGGAGACGTAAGCTACGCTGTGTGATTCGCGGAAGCCGCCGCGTGCAGAGAGAGCACGGGGCGTGAATAGATAGGGAACGCGGGGCTGGCGCGAGGCCATGGTGCGGATGCGAAGGGCGTGGAGACCGCAGAGTGTGCGCGCGAAGCCGAGCCGCGCAGAGCCGGGAGCCCGCCGCAGGGCGGGTGCCAGGAAGCCGTGCAGATGAGAGAAGCGCGGGCTGAAGCGGCTCAGAGCCAGTAAGCCACCGAGAAGCAGCCTCGGGGTGGGCGCCGGGAAGCCGCAGGGATAAGAGAAACAGAAGTTTTAGAAGTAAAATGAGAGAAATAGGAATGCTGGTAGATAGAAGTAAAATAGGAGAAATAGGAATGCCCAGAGGTAGAGAAATAGAGAAAAATAAGGCCTCCCCTCAACATGGCAATGAGAGAGCTTGGATTCGGTCTGCCTGATTACGGAGGTGGTGAGCACCTGCGGGCGGCTAGCAGCTTATGCGCCGCAGGTCACCGAAGACAGGCACGAATTAACATCAATAAGTCTCCCCACAACATGGCAATGAGAGCTTGGATTCGGTCTGCCTGATTAGTAAGACGATAAGCACCTGTGGGCGGCTGCAGGTCACTGAAAACAGGCACGTTATCAACACCAATAAGTCTCCCCACAAGACGTCAATGAGAGGGCTTGGATTCGGTTTGCCTGATTGATAGGGCTTGTAAGCACCTGCAGGCAGTTCTAGCAGAGCAGAGCATGCGCTGCAGGGCACCAAACACAGGCACGCATCAGCACCTAAAAACCTCCTCACAACATGGTGAAGAGAGGGCCCGGACTCGGTTTGCCTGATTGGTAGGGCTTGTAAGCACCTGTGGGCAACTCTAGCAAGCAGAGCAGAGTGTGTGCCGCGGGGCACCGAAGACAGGCACGTATCAACGCCAAAAAATAAAAAGAAAGGGGGATCTGTGGGGAGCAACTCGGACTAGACTAAGTTACTGGAATTAAGACTTATTCTATGCATCTGCTCTCCCACAATATGGTGCTGGGAGAGGAGAAAACAGCTTCTACGCAGCTGCCTCTTGCCAACTTGAGTGATGACCTCCAGGAGCTGATCCTGCTCCTGATTGGAGGAGAGCAGCATACTCGGCGTGTGGGTAGCAGAGTTGGGATTGGTGGAAGAGGACTATAAAGGAGGAGAGAGACAACATGCACCAGGAACATCTAAGGGGAACATCTATCTGAGGGAACACCTGGGCAGCCCCCGAGAGAGCCGGCCGGCAGTGTGCCGCTCCCCTGCGGAAGTGGGGAAAGTGGCCAGGGGGAACTGCCCTTCCACGGAGGTGGAAGGGACGGCAGCCAACCCGGGAAGAACCAGCAGCAAACCCGGGGAGGGCCGAGCAGATGAAAGAACAGCGCAGGGTCCTGTGTCGTTCCTCCACGAAGACGGGGAGCAACATAATGGTGCCGTGACTCGGATATGAAGCCTAGGCAGGGTTTAGTGTCGTTCCTCCATGAAGAGGGGGAGCGACAGCATAGGGCAGGAGCACTGTCAACACTGAGTGAATGATGGTGCACCCATGAGGAAGCACAGTGCTCTCCTGCCACTCCACACCCCCACATGCTTTACAGAAGTCTGAGCAGGTGAGGAAGGCAGCCGAAGCCCCACGTTGGGAAGCTTGGCCAGGGTTAAGAGATTCTCTGAGCCTGAGTGGGGAGAATAGCAGGAGCTCCTGGGGCAGGAAGAAGAGTTATGTCAGCTAGCATGCAATGAGTACTTATCCCATTCTCGGCAACCCACCAGCCTGTTCACACGGATTAGTTCATGTGATCCTTGCACTGTCCCATGGTTTAGGAATTGATACTTTGTATTTTACAGACAAGGAAACTGAGACCTCAGCAAATAGACCATAGGGTGGCAAATACAGAGTCAGTATCCAAACCTAGGTCCGTCTGCCTTGTTTCCAAAGGTGTCAGTGGTTCAGAATTAACACCATCCATCCGCATTCCCACTGCACCCACTTTAAAGACATGAACTAGAAAGCTCACCAGTTTGCAAGCCCAGACCGGGGCTCCCCTCCCAGCTCTGCCATGAGCCAGCCGTGGAACCTTCTGGGTATCATCTTCTGCATCTGGTGTCCTCATCTGCACAGTAAGAGTTGGAGCAGATCCATAGAGCCGGCAACGTGGCACAGCAGCACAGTGTGTTAAGCCACCATGTGCAGTGCCGGCATCCCATGTGGGTGCCTGTTCGAGTCCTGGCTGCTCCACTTCCAAACCAGCTCCCAGCTAATGCACCTGGGAAAGCAGCAGAGGATAGTCCAAGCTGCTTGGGCCCCTGCTCTCATTCGGGGGACCCAGAAGAGGCTCCTGGCTCCTGGA